GCGTATATGGTCGTTAAAAATCAAGATTAGCTTCGTTGTATTAACATTGAATGTGAGATGATCGAGGATGTGATTTTTCTGCCGAAGCAGCAAATTTTTTAAGTCATTTGTGACTTACTATCGAGCATGTACTAGTTGCCCCCAAAAGTACCTTTCTTTATATCAATTTCCCTCAAACTACCTAAAGGAAAATGTACCAGTTGCCCTCACATGATAATATATACACAATTACAATATATAGCTCGTAAAATAGGGAAATTAGATATAAAAATCATTAATAAAATATAAAATTATTTATAAAAATAAAGTACGAGTACAATAATACAAAATTATAGAGTCAAATTCATAATAAATAATCTGATTATAACGATAAGTTGTATATTCAATATAATAATGCTTCTGCAAATGGATTTTACATAATTTAATGTTATATCCATATACATTTGATTGAACTTCTTCTCGTATTCATGAATACATTTATAAAATGCATTTTAATGGTCGTTTAGAAACATCATCCACAGCTTTCCGTTTTAAATTATTAGAAATGGTTACTTTTGTTAAATTTTTACACGGCGAATGTTTGTGTTCGATAACCGATTTTAAAAGTACCGTTTCGTCTTCACTTAAAAATAGCTTTTACGTACACGGTTTTAATGTACATCGCCATTTTACACTAGCTTGTATAATGCGATCTTTATAAAAAGTATAATTATTTAAAACTAACAAAATATTGCCCTTTTCACTATACACTCTCGTAATATTTTCCATCGTGTTAACAACGTCAGCGCTTTCTGTATTTTGTCTACTAAAACAGTGGTTTTCAACCTTTTTCGGATCACGACCCCCTATTTTTTATTTTTGTGTAATGTGACCCCTTTAAAAAAAAAATGTTGTTTTATTCATCAAAATCTGTTTTAATTACAGACAAAATATTTACCAGATAAACAATTTTGATTAATTAACACTTAAAATTTCACAAAATAAATAATTTACTGTTTTTTTTAAATAATATGGGAAAACCATTTCATCCATTATTTTTGGCGACCCCCAAATCTATGGTTCGTGACCCCCAGGTTAAAAACCACTGTATTAAAATGTACTTATCAAAGACGTAGGTATACATCGTATTATATAATAATTTCTAACAACGATAAAAATATATATAATGATATAATAAATGATAATAATTATCCACTCAGACGCATCTAAAATTACGCGTTTTGGGAAAATACTTGATTTGCACCAAGTAGGCTATTATTATTTATTAGTTATTACAAAATACAATATTCTGTATTATAATTATAATGTACTTATATATGATACTAGCTGAATAACCCGGCTTCGCCCGTATACAGTTTTTTTGGGTAACCTACTATAACTTTTATTTTATCAGTTTTTATATTTATTACAGGCTGCTTTTAGATAAGTTTATCCTAGGTTGCCCATGTATTGTAACAATCAGAAGTCATCAAAAAATTACTTTATTTTAATATTTTGAAGACAAATTGTAAGATACAATTCTAATCGACGAAATGTTGAAATAAATTATACCCAAAAAATTATAACTTTCTGTAATTGAAAAAAAAATGTTTAACGTATTATTATAATTATTATTACTATTGTTAGTATTATTCTTATTATTACTATTTTTACTTCTTATTATTATTTTAACATTATTATATACATTATGGTGTTATAAAAACCCACCAATATTTATATTGACATATTTTGTTCATCTCAATACCTCCTTATAAACAATATTTTTGGTACTGCCTTTTAGGGCTACGTATACGAAGACGCTTATTATTCAAAAATAATAAGTAAAACACCTTGTGTATGCGTAAACGCTAAAGACATATCACAACTTCACAGCATGTGCCGAATACTACAATAATAAGTAAAACACTTGACTAATAAGTGTACGTGTTTATTTACTATAATATACATTTGGAAGTACACGTATAACAGTTCGCAAGCCGTAAGTGTCGTCATACAAATGAAATATAAACGCTACGCGTGTGTGGTCAGTGGTGCGAGCGTACGACAGCATGTCTACCCTCACTATTACTTCTGTTGGAAAAGCCCGTGTGCGTCGTCGATTATGGCAAGCGTTATAATAGAATCATAAATGACACATATCTAAAATATTTTCGGTTCGGTATTAAGCAGGTCGGTGGCGCGCGGTGACACGGAAGGGGAAATTTGGACGGCCACGTCTAGCCACCACGCGTCGACGGCTGCCGTACCGCGAACCTCACCCACCGTTAAAAATTAACTATTTTATGCTCTTTTTACTCTTTAAAATGCGAATTTCGAAAAATCCTTTCTTAGTGCGCCTCTATATACTAATAAGTGCATTTACTGACAATTTCATATCCATAGCTTTAGCAGTTCCGGCTAGGCGATGATGAATCACCCAGGACAAGTGCTTTTATATATACAGATAACATTAAACAAAGTAAACTCCATTCGTAGAAGTATTATATTAAATATGCCACTTATCTTTATAATTAGATTATTTACTATGAATTTGACTCTATAATTTTGAGCTAAAACTCGTTTGCGCACATTTACCTTTTTACAACTCGTTTGCACTAAAATGCACAACTCAATTACGCACATACATTTTAGCTACCTATGACGAAAATCCCTAGTATCAGAACTCGTTTGCTTATTATCGTTGATTATTATACTCCTCATGATTATGAGAGTTGATTACTTTTATTATTTTGTTTAAGTTATTAATAATAACACTCGCAGGACATTTTTTCTTAGTGCATCTAAAATTTGAACATCCATTCATTAAAACACGATATTCACTAAATTTATAATTATCAATATAAAAACATTGTTTTCCTCACTAAGATTCAAAAATATTAGAAATGTCTACGTCATATTAAAGTTTACGTCGTCAACACACTAGTCACTACTGTACCGTCCATATCCATAGTCCATACCTACTGAAACTTTACGTGTCATGTGTGTGAATGTGTCGTTGTGCGCAAACAAGTCATTTATTTTCAGGTAAACGACTGATTCCGTCGTGCGCTAACGAGTCGTCGATTTTCGGGTAAAAAAATTTTGAATGTGCGCAAATGAGTTGCAGTGATAATTTTGTACTATTTTATTTTATTTTTATATTTATTTCCCCAATTTATGAGCTATATATTGTAATCGTGTATATATTAACATGTGAGGGCAACAGGTACATTCGATTGAGAGTAACTGGTACATTTGGTTGAGGGCAATTGGTATATTTTTAAAAGCTCGATAACAGGCATAGGGCAACTGGTTAGGTAACTGGTCAACACCCCTTATTATCATTTACTGAAACCAGTGGTGTACCTATGGGAAGGGCAACAGGGGCATTTGCCCCCCCCCCCGAGAAGTTTTTGGATGCCATAATGCAAATTAATTGTTCAGCTTAAATAATGTAAATTATAAATATTTTTAATTTTCTCTGATTATAATTGTATTTGATATCAAAAGTTTTTGGTATCATTTATCAATGTAATATAAAATATCAATATTCGACCGAATTGGGATTAGGAGTGATGGTCACATATAGTCACTATTTTATAATGTGGTTATCATTGATATTAAGTGATCAACACGAGTTTTAAGTATTTAGTAATAATTTATAATAAAGTTTCAGATTATATTATAACCATAAAAAATTGTACAATTAATTTATGCCCCCTCCCAAAAAAAAAAAATGTTTCACAGGTACGCCACTGATCGGAACGCGATTTCAACAAAAAATTTTAAATGGGACGCGATTAACAGAGACCTTTTACGGGTTTGACAATGTATTGATGTTTTCAATATTATATAAGAGACTTTTTTTAGAACCCGTCTTGTATTAGTTTTATTTTATTAGTTCACTAAAATACGAAATTATTTTTCAAATAAAAATTAGTATCATTGCTTCGACATCTCTAGACGAGGTCTAAATTATTATGATTACGAATACATCCTCTTTGTTGACTTTTCAATTTTCATACAAGTTCTTTGTCAAACTATTTTGACTTGTACCTCGAAAAATAACGTTGTGGTTTTTTATTTGCAAGACTTAACTTAACGATATTTTCACCGTATTGTTCATGTAATTTATCTCAAATGTTTTTTTACGTAAGGCACATAATTAAAATAATCATTATTAATACATGACAATATATCATTTTCAATTCCATACTGTTTAATAAAGATGTGTGACATAAATTAACACAAAAATTCAAATATATATATAAATTACAGTTAATATTAGGAAAATATTAAAAGAATAAGAAAAAATAATGCATTGAAAAGTTTATTTAAAAAAGAAAACATAGTAAATACAATTAGAAACCGAAGACAACGTAATAAGGATAACTATGGATGAGAACCCAGTTGGTAAAAATCCACTAGGGAGACCTTAATTAAGGTGGGAATATATGATAAAAAAAAGATGTGTTAACACTGAATTGACGACCGGATTGGAAAGCACGAGCTTTGGATAGAGAGTGCTTTGGAATTGGATGTGTGACGGCATGGTCTTAATGGCCGACAAACCCCAAAGAAAAAGAAGAAAAAAAAAAGAATATTAGGAAATGTTACATAAATATTTTATTAAACGAAAAATATATAATTTTACAAAATACATAATTGTATACTTCAATAAACGATAATCATTTTTGAAAATTAAAATTAGATAGTTAATACATATTGTGATAAAGTAAACTATTACATAATATCTAAATATCACTACTAAGACTTGGAAATTTAAAAGTTATAAATTAGAACAAATAATAAACATTATAATTAATAAAATATTTTTATCGACGACAGTCTGTTCACTCTATGTATTAAAATAAAAATATTTTATGTGTTATGAGAATAAATCATTTTTATAATTTCCGCGTATTATATTATTTTACTCCGGTAGACAGTTAACTTTTCTTATATATATATATATTGATTATTTTTTATTTTTACTTTTAATTGTAAACTGTTCGATAAAAATTATGTAAAAAATATTTTCAAACGTATTTTTTTAAATGTAATAATTCGGGTTCTTTATTAATGAATGAGTAATATGCAAAGCATTTTTTTAGATCTATCGATGTACGAAATTAAGTATTCAAATTTAAATACATGAATCGTAGGTTTAATGTAAATGACACCAAATATTGTACCCATATGATATGTTCAAATAATTGTTGACTTGATTTCTATGCCAGTATATTTTAGAAAATTAACATGAACATATTCAAGCATATTGAATTAAACGTACACATATTTGTCTAAATTTTGAGAAGTGTATTTTTTTAAATTAAAATAGGCAATGTGTACGTTTCTAAGATCAAACGCAAATACTCGTATTCGTTATTTTAAATCTTTCTTATTTGCATAAATATATATTTTCTATGTAATTTATTCAGCGTGCTTTAATAATAATATTACGAATACAACTTTGAGATTATCATGTATTTCATAAATAAGTTTAAAATACGCTCAAAAGTATTTCCTCTTCTATGTTGGTTTATTAAAAATTAATATGAAATAAATGAAATAAGAGATTTTTAATTTTTGAAAATTTATGCCTTACTACTTGAACCAAAAATTATATATATATAATAATAAAATATTATATTATTCTCTCTGATAATGTTATAGTTCAGGAATAAAATGTCATTTACTAATCATATACCAACTGGTATGTACAAAAAAAATATTTTAGGGAGGTTTCCTTTATCAGGGAACGATAACGTCGATCATTTTATACTATTAATACACATAGATGTGTGTAAGCACACATCGAACTAATTTAATCTAAATCGATAATGTAACTCGATCAATAATACAAATAAACGAGAATAAAAAAAACACTAATGCGATGGCAAGAACATGTTGCGTGGTTTTCGAAATACAAAATTCTAGCGACTTGTGACACACGGTGGCCATTGACCATCAGTTGCATCCTCCAGAGAGTTCCGTCAGAATGTACGTGAACAACGGAAGCTGAAGCAGTGATTTTACTCGATACTCGAGGCTGTTGAGTCCGTCGGTGTTGAAACGTTCCCGACTGCTTCTCAAGATTTCAAACCTTTGTCGAACACAAGGGGGAAAACGATTATAAATTATGATTAATGTAATACGTATTGTTACTTTGCGAAATCCACAATTGCACGCTCTACGGCAGGCATGTCAAACATGCGGCCCGCGACTTGTTTTTTGTGGCCCTCGGCTAGTAATATTAATGGATAAAATAATAAATGAATAATAAAAAAAAATTATAAAATATTAATCTTGTGTTTCAACTAACTTAGATTCTTTGAGAATGGTAAATATTTTGGTATACATTATTATTTTTTATCTTCTTATGAACTTTTATCGAATCGAACAATTAGTGTTATTGATGGTCTCATATGTACAAATAATAAATATATATAGATTAATAATTTATATCGTCGGTACGCGACACGCGTGCCTTTGGACACTAGTCGTTTGATTTTAAATTTTGTTGTGTATATTTTATTACAAATTTAAAATTTAAAAATGTCTGTATCAAAACCAAGTGGTAGTAATAAACGTAAAATTATCGATGAACATCGTCCAAAGACAATTTTCAATTTCTTTAAACGATTTAGAAAACGGATATTCAGATTTACCATACTTTACTAAAGTACGATAGTTGTCATGCTCCATTGTATTAGAACGATCCTGGAAGTTAAAAGATGAAATAAAAATATTTTTAGAGTCTAAAGTACAAGACGTTAGCACTTTGTCGGATCCAATATGGTTAGAAGACCTATCCTTTATGGTCGATATAACGAAGCACTTGTCAAATTTAAATTTAAAATTACAAGGGAAAGATAAAAATATAACAGTTATTAATGACTATGTAAATGTAAATGTAAATTAGATTTTATATTTACAACATTTTGTAAATTAATCACGAACAGATACAAACTTGTTATCACAATTTTGTCCTTTAATATTTGGACTTATGGGTTAGTCAACTTTTGCATATCTTACACTAGTGTTTATGGCTATACCACTTTGTTCGATCAAACTTTTAACTTTTAAACGATGCTCATATAATTATCATATAGATAGCGAGAATGTATGAGTTCATTTTTACAAAATTTCAATATTACCTCAAATTTCCATCCACTTCTTTGAACTTTTTGAAGTGTATACTTTTAAGGATAATGGTTTAATTAAAACCAAATATTTGATGCCTTTATTTAATTTACTGGTCATAAATTATTTAAAAAATAATGAGGGTGGGTGAGTTTTCTATATTAACAACATGCGTTAAATAATTCGCTTACCTCGATGGGTTGGACTCTTGGTTGACATGTGATAACATACGGTAACGTGCCACGTCTGGAGTATATCTGGTAATGTTAAGGCCATGAGCTCTGACTCGACATGCCATATCATCATCTTCAGCTCCCCATCCCCAATAATTGTTACTGAATCCGTTGACCAACTCGAAATGATTGCGGCTCATGCCTATCACTCCGCCAAATAAATCCACGAACGGCAAACTAAAAAAAGAAAGTCAAAATGATCATATTTAATTTCAAATTAAAACTTTGTTTTCTATAATCTATTTGCAGGATATAAAATCGAGTAACTTGCAAAAAAAAAAAAAAAATGTATAAACTACGTACACAACTACCAGAGGAAAACGATTTTTACATCAATCAATGAACAAATTAACTAATGCTCATAAGTTAATTGTTCAAATTGTAACGATATAGGGTTTAATCATTTAATATATATTTTATTTCAAATTAATATTTCATAAAGTTCATCTATTTTTTTCAAACTATTTGCAAATGCTACTCTGGCAAAATAATATATATATATATATATATAGATTTTTTGTTTCTATTAAATTTAGGAAATTCAATAAATTTAAATTTAATTGTAATTACTATTACTATACAAAAATTAACAGCAGTCTTTATTAGACATAGGTTAGAAAGAATATAGAAGTAATAATGTATAACGGTACACATCGGAATCGTTATTTATTTTGAAATATACTTATTAGGTGAATTTTATATTTTTATTCATGGCGTAATATAAAAATGATAATAATAATATTTTGTGGTTGAAAAGTCGATAAAAAAATCTTATCTTATTTTAATAACACTAAACTGTACAGTGATTTTGAACAGAAATATTTTTAGATCGATTTTTAAAATTAATACAAAATTCATTGTTAAAGAAATTAAATCACAGTTCGTGCGTACCACTTATCAGAACAGATATTGCGTTACAGCGTACTTTCCTATCGGTCTGAATAGTGTACTTGCAATTAATACAAGCGAGGAGGGAATAGATTGGGGGTTGAATGGAACCAGGCGAGAATCTAGAAATGAAAAAAGGGGGCGGGGTTTTAAAGTGAATTACTGCCATAGTTTGTTGCGCATGTCGATCTGTACGAAGTCTTTCTTATTTCTAATTTTTTAAATATTTTACGTAACTCCGTCCGATATGGTTCAACTTATTGTCTTATGGGGTGGGCTTCAGCTACCATTGCCTCTCTCTTGTAACCATGGCTGAATGGAACGTTGCAAGAGTTTATTAAGGCAGAGACAATATTACGTTAGGGAGCAAGAGAAAGAGAATGAAAGAGTAGGTGAGTGATATCATAGATCGCATCATTGTATTCATGTAGCGTGCATAAAAGAGAGTCGTTAAGAGAAAGTTTGTAAGAGTACGATAGGAGTAGAGTGTGTCCAAATTTTAGTAGCGAGCAAGTGATAAGTTGTGTTTCTATTTATTTCAAGGTTGTAATACCAGAGTTGGGAAGGTATATGTGAATGATATATGTTTATACCAAGTGGCATTGTTGGGGGGGTGAGTTATGCCATTGGTTAAACTACAATTGAGAAATATGAAATTTTAACATGAGTCAATAATCGATGCATGAAATTAAAGTTGAAAATAATTGCAGAGAGATAATGTGGATTTGGCAAAGGAATCCGCAGTTTCATTGTCTTTTATGCCAGATTGGGCTGACACTCAGAGGAATTATATTACAACATCTGAAAGATTTAAATTGTAAAAAAGCTGTTTGATACTGGTGGATATGGATGAGGGGAGAGTATTAAAGAAATTGGAGGAGAGACTGTTAAGTCAAATTTAATGTGGTATACATTTTATAAATATAAAATTATTTATGTGGGTTTGTTTCAAAAAATTCGTTTCAAGAAAGAAATTTATTAGTTGATATAAAAATGTAGATACTAAACAATATGGCTTGGCTTAACTTTTAGCTGTCATAATTACCTGTAGTTAAACTTGTCGATGGCTACTGACATATGTCTCGGCTGATCGGGACAACTATAAATGTTTCTATCGTTTTCTGGTATAAGATCTACGTCGTGGAAAAAGAAACAGTCGAAATCACGTAACTTCAACGCTTCATTAAATCCGACGTTCATTAACATAGCTCGGTTAAATAGACCATCGCCTGTAGAAATATTAATAAATTAAACTTATGTTCATGTATGCAATGTATATCTAAAATATTTAACGAGCGAATTTAACGAAAAAAAAAAAAACAATAAGAGTAATTATAAAATAGTTTACATTTCATCAACGTTCGAGTATAGTTATGTTTTTTTTTTTTTTTGTTTTAATAAATCATGTAAACATGTTCCATCATTGATTTACCGAATTGTTCTACAATGAAAATACTGTAGTCCAATTTTTGTTTGGTTAAAAACGGATGCATGTTCAGAAGAAAAGTGCAGAGGTTTGACAGTCGGTCTCGGTAGGGCACTATAATTGCGATTTTGTATCTGGCTTGGCAGTCTAAAGGCTCATGATGACCGCCTTCGAGAAGTTTAAGCCAAGATAATTGTTGTGCTACTTCTTCCAGCGTTTCCTGAGCAGGTACGAGTATGCGCATTGTTCCGTCTGAAGAAAAAAGAAACGAATCTGTATAGTTAAAATTGACGTTTTCGTTGCACTCCCCATAGGTACGGCCATGTATATATATATATATATCACATATAAATATGTGATATATGCATATATATGCGTTTATTTTTTGACGTTTTACATAAAAAATAATATGTGACCATATTATATACCATTGTGATTAAGCAATCTAAATAAATATAAACCAATCGTATAGTTCAACATAAATCAATAGTAAATAACTTACTTAAATCAGGTGGAGTTTCAGGACATAGCGTGATAAATTGTTTTTCATTCGTTTGTGTGGTTTGTCTTTTATTGTAAATCTATAAAATTATTGAAATACTGTTACATTTTTATTAATAAAAATGTATCTTAAGTTCAATAGCTTTTTGGTAAGATTATATACCAACTATCTACTACGCTAAACACCGAAACATGCAGTCCACCAAATACATATCATAATGTGAAACATTTTAATTATTAACTTTTGTTGTAATTATTTTTCATGTGAAATGAAAATAAAAATATTAATATATATATATATATATATATATATATATATTAAAATATTAATATAAAAATATTAACGAACATCGATAATTTCGAATGTTATAAAATGGTAATCATCCAAATCAATTTCATATCGGAAAACTATTTATTATTAATTTTTTAAATATGGTTGAAAACCTACTAAATTTATTTCAATACAATTTTCTGACTACTGTGTACAAGAGAAAAAATTAATTTATTTCAAAATCCATTTTCTGTAACCGTCACGATGTTGAATTTAATTTACCGATGGAATTTATAAAATTTAAAAATAACGGCGTTCTTAAAACTGCTTTTAAAGAAACTAATGACCTACAAATATTTTATTCAAGTATTTCTGAATTAAATTTTAAATGTATTAAAAATTTTACTAAAAATATTATTACTGATTTCGGTGCCACTTAAATTTTGTGAGCAGACATTTGCAATACTTAAATTTCGAAAAATAGATATTGTTCACGATTAAGTGACGAACATATGAATTTAGATTTAAGGGGGCTCCAGTCGTTGAAAAAAAGTCGCTTTTAGACCAGAAAGCTAGACAAAACTATAGAAATATGGTTTGATATATTTTAATTTTTTAAACGGAATTTGATTAGTTAACAAGTTTTCTATGCTTTGAAAGTGGTGATTTTGAAAATTTTGAAAACTGTTTAAATTATGATTAAAAATATAAATAAAAAAAAAATCAAATTTTTGTTTTATTATAGCTTAGCCGGTAAAACCGATATTAAAAATCGCCTCCTCAGAAGCCTAAAGAACTTCTCAATCAATAAAACACCGTTTACTACATTAAAATCCGTCCAACCAAATTCCTACAGTTTAGTTTAACTTTTCGGTCTAAATACCTTTTTTTTTTTTTCAAATGAAAAAAGTATGGCATTTAACATTATTGACTTGCTCCTGCGCGTACATAGATTGACGTCGATTATAAATAAACAGACTAATTGACCGACCGGTTACGGCTACAAGTATAGTTCCACGAACTGCACTAAATTTCAAGATTACAAGTAATAACCACCACGACCCATATATTGTATCACCTTATTATTTCACCCGTATTGTTGTTTATATATTATTCATTCTGCATCCATAAACATTCAACATTTCAACATTCAGTGTTTATATTGTCGTCTGTACCAGATTAATTATAGTGTAATTTTCTGTTATCAATATCTGTAGACTGTACTGTCTACTGTGCACATATATGATATAATACACAGTATACACATTTTATTTTCTTTTTTTGGTTATTTGATATTTTTGGTTTTTTCGTTATGGAAAAAAAAGGTTGGCAGTATGGTAGAAAAACAAGAATCTTGCTGTCAAAGCAAAGGAAAAAAAATGCAATATTCATCACATTCATAAAATTTTGGTAAGTTTCTATTTTTTTTCCGTATTATGCATGATAATTTAATGTATAAATATTACCTATTATTTCATTAATAAGATATATTTTTATATATTTTATTAATAATATACCTTGTTATTTTTAAATTATTAAGATTAATAAATTCCACTTTTTTATTATTATAGAATAATGATACTATTGTCGCGGACGATACTGTCGATACTCTGCCTTCGACGCAAAATATATCATCTCTGATAGAAGATCAAACAGAGTTATTAGAAACATTAACAATTAGTGATAGAAATGATACTCAAAATAATGAGTAAGTTCTAAACATAATTATAATTAATTTTATTATGAAGTGTGTTTCGTATTTTGAATGAAACGAGAAAAGTATTAGTTCTATCATAACTTTTTTTTTCATTTGTACCGCATAACTTACGGGTGTTGATTTTCGAAAAAATTGTTTTTTTTTTTTTTTTTTATTGTAATTCAAAAGTAATAATTTTAGAGAATCGACATTTCTATCAAATATTTATCTGTCCATTTTCTAGACATGGTGTAAATTTCAAATGGTTTTTTTGTGCTATTGATAGAAATTTGGAATTTAGGAATTTTCTTAGTCATTTTTTGTAAGATATCAATAAAAAAAATATTGATTTGTCGAAAAATTTTGAAAATGAAAAAAGAAATATCGTCATGACTCATAAGGGTATTGTAAAAATATATAACATTCAACAGCCTATAGTACCTATCATTTTTTTTAATTATAGGTATTGTATTAGTGGTAGAAGAATAGTTGATATTGCATATTTTTTTTATATCAATTCAACATATAAAGCATAAAGGTTTCGAATGTTCATTCTCAGAGAAAATGTTGTTAGTCAATGAAAAAAGAAATGGGTTTTCTAGCAATTTTATCTTTAAATGTTCAGTATGTGAAGTTCTTGAAAATCTATACTCTGAAGATCCCGATAGACAAGGCCTTGATATAAATATGTCAATTACTTTAGCCACCATTAATACTGGCCAGGGATATTCGCAATTAGAAGAATTTACAGCCATATTAGATATGCCTTGTTATGCTAATAACTCATATCAAAAATACCACGAAAAATTGCATGTTCATTTATTTGATGTTACGTTGGATGAAATGAAACTTGCTGGAATTGAGGAGGCAAAACTCGCTGTTCAAAATGGGGACGTAGATGACCAAGGTCGTGCATTGGTAACTGTTGTTGCTGATGGCGCCTGGTCCAAAAGATCCTATAAATACAATTACAATGCTTCGTCTGGTGTAGCATCAATTGTTGGGTATAGAACCAAAAAATGTTTATTTATGAGTGTCCGCAATAAGTACTGTGCCATATGTGATAGAGCCTTAAAAACAAACCATATAGTTCGTGAACACAAGTGCTATAAAAATTGGACTTCAACTTCTACTTCTATGGAATCTGATATTATAGTTGAGGGCTTCAAAGAAAGTATAGCAATGCATAATATTTTATATAATAAACTAATCGGTGATGGTGATAGCAGTGTTAGTAAAAAATTACTACTCGCTAAACCTTATGGTCCTGATGTATTAATTCAAAAAATTGAATGCAAAAACCATGTTTTGCGTAACTATATAAATCGTATGCATGATATTGCGGGAAAAAGAAAATGTAGTAGTGGAAAAATTGTACCCGGAGATCAGAGAAATACTTTGAGAAATAATTTATAAAAACTTCGTTGTGCAATTACTCAGGTAATTGAATATAGAAAGAATAGTGATGGAACACATAATGAAAAAATTAATTTATTAAAACATGATATTATGAATGACCCATATCATGTTTTTGGAAATCATGAAAATTGTGCAAAGTACTTTTGTAAAAAAAAAGAAGGAAAAAAATAGTAAAAATTATGTTTTAGAAATGGAAAAATCTGGGCTTTGGACAGATATTTTATATGCGAGAAATTTATTAGCTCATCATGCCTCAAGTTTAATATATAATGTCAACAATAATTCGGTCGAAGGTTACAATAGTATTGTTGCTAAATTTGTAGGTGGCGAAAGAATACATTTTTCTCATAAAGGGTCATATCAAGCGCGATGTACAGCTGCAGTGTTATCTTATAATACAGGACCAAAATATATTAGCATTTTGCATAAAAAGATTTGCAATATTAGTCCTGGTGATTTTACGAAGCGTTTTATAAGTGCAAAACAGAAGAAAAAAATATGTAAAATGAAAAGAAAACTTTTATTTGAACCAAGAAGTAGACGAGTTACTAAATATAACTTACCAGATGATGACTATGGTAAATGCGAAGAAAATATGTGTGAAGAACTAGATATGGATGGAAATGATTACGAAAAAAAGAAATTGAAATATATGAACAATAAAATAATTAAAAATATGGATGAAATTAAATTTATAGAAAAATCGACTACACTTCAATCGGAATGCGAATTATGGCACAAAGAAAGAAAAATTAGATTAACCGCATCGAATTTTGGAAAAATTTGTAAACTTCGACCATCGACTTCTAGAGCCAATACAGTTATATCAATATTGTATAAAACCTTTTGTGGTAATGAGCATACGAGATATGGTATTGAGTGCGAACCTTCTGCAAAGGCAAAGTTTGAACAATCAACAGGATTTAAAATTCAAGAATCTGGACTTTTCATATGTGAGCATCAACCGTTTTTAGCAGCAAGTCCTGATGGACTTATAGATAATAATGGTATAATTGAAATAAAATGTCCCTCAACAATAAAAGAATTAACTCCAAAAGAAGCTATAGAATCTAGGAAATTAAAATTTGCAACTCTAGACAGCCAAGGAAATTTGCAATTAAAACAAAGTCACAACTACTATTTTCAAGTCATGGGCCAATTAAAAATAACTCAACGATTATTTTGTTATTTTATAATATGGTCACCTAAAGGTAACACACAATATTTAAATGTATTGTTAAATTTTTCTTTATATTTTGTTTACATCTTTTACAGGTATACTTTATCAAAAAATTTTTAAAGATGAAACATTTTTCAACACAAAAATGAAACCATCATTGGAAAAATTTTATTTTGAAGCGATGTTGCCAGAGTTAATTGACTCAAGAATGGACAGAAACCTTAGTTTACGGGATTAATGGTATGGTAATAGGCAACTAGTATCTACTATCTAATATTAATATAATATGTAACTGAAGTATAAATTGTATAAATTATATAATTATATTATTATTTATTAATATATATATATATATATATATACTTGGATTTAAATATAATTTTAAAAATGTCAACGCAGTGTTCATATTTGGATTGCAATCATTTTCAACCAATATCTTTCATTATAGTTTTAAACATCCTCGTAACATAATATAATGAAACGTATTTCATTTTAACACATTTTCGTACAACGAATAATTGATTATAATATGGTAATATACGTCAAAATTTTGCATATGACGTACATTATATTATTATAAATTATAATCATTGATTACAGAATACACTTTTATAAAAATTACAAGCTAAAAATCGAGAATAAATTTTAGAAATAATTTATGGTAGGATCAATGTTATTATTATTATAATGCTTATAGTTTATTCAATTATAGGTATTATATAATATATATATATTATGCAGTTCATATTATTTGTGACTACGATATTTGGTACGACTTGTCGACGTCGGGACGGTTTCTACTGAATCAATAAAATGAATGGATAATAACGCTGATCAAGATTTCAGATTAGTCTCACACACACTAATGTGCATTTACTTTCCACACACTAACAAGCCAACTTACACCGTCATGTTAAATTGCCTATGCTATTTTCCTTAAAATATGATCGACTGGAGCTCCTTTAAGAATAACAACTTCTAATATTAAAGCGAATATAAAAAAAATTAGTTTTTTTATCGTTACTAGAAAATTGTTTACTCACCATGGCCTCGATGCCGGAAACGTTGAGGTGAATTAATGGCACGGGATTCGTCGAGGGGTGGCATTTTTTTACCGTGGTAACAATTGAGCTATTGAACCAATTTTGCTCGTTAAAATTTACGTACGTGTACTGCAATAGTATGAAAGCTATAGCCAGTGTAAGCAAAATTTTTAAGCGCAATTGTGTTATTATGGGCATTGTAGTTCAGCGAACATTAATAAGACCCAACGCCGTGGTCTTGGGAATCTGAAACAAAAATTGATCACACTTATATCGATCATAACTATGCTATGTATTTAAATAGTCTAACAATAGATTAAATGTACTAATAGTACATAAACACTTTTAAAAAAACTTATATAAAATCCCAGCTGTAGTTTTCTGTTCTTCTACTCGTAGTATTATATAACGATTAATCTCCAATTAAGTTTTCAGTTCGTTTGGACTCAAATGTCAATAAAGCCAAGTTCAAATGGCGGTTATTTTTCATTGATTGTCTTTATCGATTTTTCAATATATGTTATATAAGAAAATGTTGATTCACAAACTGCTGAGCTACATCCATGTACATCAATTGTAGATATCATATTAAATGTTTCTTTAAATGCTTTACATTGTTTAGAAAGCTCCTTTTACGTGTTTTATTAGAAATATTATTTTCTTTTAAATAATTGTTCACACAAATATAAAAATAATAAATTATCAAAAGATGATAAAATTGTCGTAATCAGTCGTTACTCGTTGCTAATATACCATTATCTTCTACAATCGAACTATAATTGTGGTTATATTAAATATAACTTATTATTTATTATAAATTTTATAAAACTATCATATGATCACCATTATAACCAACTCACATTTGAATTAACACTTATTGATATACATTTTTTTTCCAGTATATCAGTTTATTCGAAAATCACTATCTTTCAATAAAAATGTTAGGGGACAACGATTGGGTCTAGAGGGAAATTCCTCCTTTTGTCCCATTCCCGGTGGTTACAGGTCTAGGTTGATTCCTGTGGTCGATCCCATATGGTTAAGATGAGGAATAGAGTTCATCACATCAATCTGATACAATATCCAAGACTTAAACATTTCGTCCACAACTTAAAAGCTAGGTTACAAGCTGAAGACAGGTAAACGCGAAAAGAGTGGAGTGATCAGGACAATGAACAGTGGTCGATGATGGGCATACGACGACAACATAAGGGACTGTAAACAAAGCTCTTAAACGGAACTGACCCAACAATACGAAGCGACTCGACTCGTACAAGACGAATGATGAGTAAACGGAGAAATTTGGTTGAAACAGAGACGGGAAGTTGAAAATATGACTCAAAGTGTACAATAATTAAGTAACTTTGATATTTCAGTCTCGAGTTGGAAGTTATCCGGAACGCACGAGTTTCGACAGCTCTAATATTTTTCATTTACAAGTTTACAATTGCTTCTTCTTCATATTTATATGAGCATTTCCATTTATTTTCTTTTTTCATTAACTTAATGTTAAATAATTATTTCACAGGTAATAATTTAATACGTGTTAATATATAAAATCGCTACGTATAATAAAGCACTATCGATATAAAACTTGTCGACGGTTCTCGGACGTCACCTAATCTCGAAACGGCCTATAGTGGCTCCTCTTATTAATAATGTCAAAACCTATCGTTATCATGTCGTCAAAGCCAAATCCGAATTCAAATAAAATTAATAACAATAATAACGATAAATATTCAAATTGTTCAATTAAATCGTCAGTTTAATATTTTACAAAATAATTAAATAATTCGCAATAATCTACTATCTTTATCAAATCTAAATAACTCTTCCTCAATGAGTATATAATTTAGTGATTCTAATGGTGTGTTCTGAAATCTGTCGAATACGGATCACGACATTGACGATAACGAATTCAGTTGAATTAGTTATTCCAAACGTCAACGTTATACTTTTTCTTTTTCAAATGCATAGGATACAAAAAAAAAAAAAAACATTTTGTTTCTAACAATATTTACTAGTGATGGGAATAATCGAATGATTAGTAGTCGAAAACAAAATAATCGAATGATTAGTAAACGAAATCAAAATAATGGAATAATCAAATAATTAGTAGTCGAAAATAAAATAATCAAATGATTAGTAAATTAAATCAAAATAATGGAATAATTGAATGATTCATGATTTAACTGTTAGAAGTGACTGTATAAATTATCAAATTATTATCTATAAACATGAAAATGAAATGAATTTTCAATCCAAATATTTTTCAATATTAAACCAATTAGTGTGGCGATTACTGATATCGGGAATTATACCAATGATTAAAAATAAAATAAATAATGCAATTAAATACAATTAAATAATATAATACTGATGGACCAAGTCGACTTATCGAAATATTTATTAGTAACGAAAGTTACAAAAAAAAAAATATACTTGTTGATTTTTTCTGAATAAAATACATTTTTTTTCAATTATATTGGCAAAGTTCTTTTTAACTATTTCTCCATAAGCCCCTGAGGTATTTCTAATCTATATGCAGATTTTTCTACAATGCTAATATTTTCTATTAAAACATGTTTTTAATTTCCAATTATTTAGTTGTCTGAATTAAAAATTAAAAATTTGCAGAAATATATGTCAAGTTTGTTTTTAAATTGATGTAAAACATCAGTGAATTTGCGTTTTCAACAGTTGCGACTGATTCAGTATCGAAATTTGAAATATTATTTTTATTTTGTAAAAATGATTGCAATAGTATTAAACTGCTTCAAGTCACGTACCCCGTCTTGCTATGATTGGTTCAGGAGGTAAGGAATCCAGATATATTTATTTAAATTTTGAAACACGATTAGGCGCTTTTAAGATTATTTTTTTATACTTTCAATTGATCAATTTCGGAATAAAATTTCTCCGTCACTTTTAAATGTCTTGTTAGTACACCCTTTTGAATAATAATTCGTTTTTAAATTCGATATCACAATTTTCGGCATTTTAAAAATTAAAAACTAGACGTACACTAAATTTTCGTTGTGAATGTGACTGCGAATACCGCTAAAAACGAGTACAATTTATTTATTATATATTTATACTGTCCGGAACTACCAAATCGACAATATTGTATAGTATACACCCAGTGTTGGTTTGGCCCATCCGAATACCCGGCAATCGCCTGAGGCCCAGAGATTTATTCATAAAATAGAGGCCCAACCAAGGGCGATTCCACAGTTAGAGAATTGTCGGTCAGGCTATTTCAAGAGGCCACTTATTAAAGCTGAAAATGGGTTATAAATATATTCCTTGTATCAAAAAAACAATATTATTATATAATATTTATTTCTTAAGTTTATTCATAGTTATCATTGTAAACATTTATCTTATTTTATGGAATCTTACATGGGGTCTGGCAAAGAGATGTTTTATTTTACTACACTCGTAGACAAAATTGTAAAAAAGTAAAATTATTCCTAATTATTTTAAAAGATAAGTTTAATATTTTTAATTAGTTTTATAAGTATTTTAATACATAATAAATTAATCATACGATATATTAAGGCTTAAAGTTTAACTTCAGAATTTTTTTCGGTAGTTAACACACTTTTATTTTTGGGATAACATCGAGCTTTACTTTCAATAATTTTACTATGAGAGGGATAAATATTAGCATTCCCATGTTTAGCATTTAATCTAATTAACATGTATTGCAATTCAGTAAGTCTCGCATCAATAATTAAAATCAAAACTTCTTCTTCTAAGTACATTTCAACCAGAAAAGTATTTTTTTTTACATTAGAGTATCAAATTTTTTATGCTCGAGTAGGTGAAGTCTCTGTAGCTTCTTTTAGCAATTTAGATGCTTCATTTTAATCAGATTTCTTTAAACTAATTTTTATAGCAAAAGTTATTAAGAAAAATTTGGGCATATACATATAAACTATTTATGTGTAGTAAATGTAAATGAATCATAATAATATGTTCTTAAAGCTTACCTGATAGGCTTTCCAAATTTTTGAAATATTAAAATGTACACTAATAACATGAACGGACTGACATTGATCAACGAATGAATACAAGTGTACGATAACTTTAATATTATCGCATTCAATTAAACGCACAATGACGATAATTGTCGTTGGTACATTATATCGTAATTACATGTTAGATAGCGAAAATCAATAGATAATCATGTGTACTATCAAATTCCAAAATTTGATTCAGGATATGCTATTTTTATTTTTTTTTTATTCTGTCCCATTTTTCAAATTTATATCCCACTGTGGAGTAATGTAATTTGAGTGGGAGTGGTGGAAACAGGGGTATTTTCCAGTTTAGTTTTAACTTCAACTTATAGCTTACATATTTAAAAATGTAAAGAGTCTTCAAGAGGCCAATTTTGTTAACAAAATTTGTTATATTCAATCAATATTTAAAATTGATTGTGGGGCATATGACCTGAACCTCTTCTAAATCCACCCATGGGCTCAAGGCAACCACGCTAACATGGAAAATCGTGGTAACTATTTTCCCGAATTAAATTATAATCATTTTATTCTTATTTTAATCTTGAAATATTGTTGACATGATTTAATAGAACTAATATATCACCACTATAATTTATACATTATTGGTTTTCTTGATCAAAATCTATCAAATATAAATACTTTGAAAAATTGAGATACGTGTTGTTAACGGTCAAATACACGAACACAATGATTAATTCGATAATAATGGCTTTGAAAAAATATAAAAACAAAAATAAATTAATACTTGTAGTATAATTCGAGCGTAACGAGAAATAATTTATTTTTAGTAGGTATTTATTGAATCCCACTCCAATATTATTTTGTTAGAGGCTAATTATAAATTTTTTTCCAATCATTAGCCAGACCGACAATTGTATACACTGTATCATAGATTAAACATATTATTAATATATTTAGTCTATGACTGTATACAGTATATAAAAACGCGATAGTTGAAATAGTCCTAATCTACAATAATGCAGTATGCCAGAAATAAGTACATAAATATCATTTAGATGTACAATATTTGGTGGTCGTCAACAATTACAAATATTATTGTTTTAAACGAAGCAGTATCGTTGTCGAAAATCAATAAAAAAATCAATAAAAAATGACTAAAAAATATACAAAATATGTACTTATTTACCAAATTTGTAAAAATGTGTAATATATTTTGGGTTTATTTCAAATAGAATGATCTAAATCGTACACATTTTTTATCAGATTTAAAATACCTCATTTCAATAAAGATATGTATTTACAATAAAATCCGTTCCCTAGTTATGAAATACTACTCTTTAACACAATTATACAAAATGTATGATATATATTGAAATGTAGTTACATATTAGTATATACCTACTATCAGTGGCGTATTCGGGATTCATTTAACGGGGATGTTTTAAAATTTAATAGACTTTTAGTAAGTTGGGGTTCTGCCCCCCTCACTTTTACATTTATAAATACCATATATTTATATAAATTATTATATTAATAAAAATGATTACATTTACATATACCTACGTTTAGTTAAATTATACTGTAATTAAGTTTACAATTTGGTGAAATACCATAAAATACGATCGATGGGAGGGGGGGTGCTCCAACATCCATACCACCCCCTATAAATACGCCCCTGCCTACTAATGATAAAGAAAAGCCGGATTTGCCGAAGTTTGAAAATTTAGATTTTCAGATTTTCGGAATTAGAAATTCAAAATCCACAATTTTATCTAAACCCGGTTTCTATTTTAAAATTTTTAATTAGAATGCTTTTACGTATTAGTGCATTAATTATTGATTATCATCAAGTTATAATGAGTTCATTTTTTTTTTTTAATAAATTAATACATTTAATGTATTTAAACTTTATAGAATTCAAAATTTAGTGACAAATATAATTTTATTTTAAATCAACTAATTTAATCAACAAAATATCAAAATCAGAACAACATGACATTGGCAGGTTCAAAAATTTTAACTGAAATAATATAAATTAACATAATTGTAATGTGGTTAATACTCTTAAACTCTTAAAATATTAAAAAAGTATTAATAGTGTATTTTTGTATTATTGATGTTGATTTTTTAAATCAAAAACAGTCGTAAGAAATACATTTGAACTATTTTTATAATAATTCATGACATATATTTTTATTAGTATATTCAATACTTTATTTATACAAGTTTTAATAGAAATTTTAAATCATTTTTAATAAATTATTAATACATAATAATAATTTATCATAATTATGGACATTATATATAGTTTATAAGTATTATAGGATTACGAAAATATGTGTGAAATAAGTGTTCTATCAAATTCATCATTCAAAGATCATAATCCTTAGTAATCGGTGTTTCACAGTATAAACAAGAACATGTCTAGAGAAATTTTAACGAATTTAGAAAAAAATGATTGCTTAATATTTGTATACAATTTAAGTTTATCATCGTAAACATTTTTCATAGTTGTTTATATAATCCATTGTAGATTGTTGATCTTTTTAATACTATAAAATTATTATTATGTGAAATAAATACATTTGAAATATGAGGTAGTAAAAATATTGAACCTCGCCAAAAAAAATTTCCAGGCACGTCCTTTAGTATAAACATTATAGATTCTGAGCGAAGCGAAAAATGTACAAGATTTAACATCTTGATTTTTCCTTTGTCTGTCAATAAGTGTTATCATTAAGGTACATTTATGTAATTTTTTTATAATTCTCAACAGTTTTCAAAATAATTGAGATAATACAAAATATTTCACTTTCACTTTATATTTATATATATCGTATATATAAATGTATATTATTATAATCACGAATTCAATTCTATTTTGATTTCACCAGTTAGTAAGTAATATTACTTTAATTTTTTTTTTTTTTTTAGATTTGAAATCCACTTAAGGGATTCCATTTGAGTATATGGAACCGGCACTTAAGTTCGCTTCTCCCAAGCAGTTGTACAGAATAGAAAAAAATAATCTTTATCTAATACAATATACAAGTAAGCTGTGGGAATACTACACAAAGAAACATTTCTGGAATGAGTACCCCGGCAGCGATGAATCGTGGAGAGTCATTTACTTAGTAATTATCAGTAGTTTTTTGTTTCTTAACGTAAGTTTTATGTTCATCCATTAGTCGCTAGTACGTTATTATGATTGTTGATAGTATGATATAAAATTATACTCATTATTTACAAATCAAGATATATATTAAAGTTTTTGTGCCTATCAGCAAATATGTATCAGTTATCTAATAATTTTTCAATTGAATCGATGATGGATATTATTCGCATTTAACCATAGTCCTTTATTGTTTAGACATGTGCTGAAAATCGTAAAAATAAATTTAAAATATAACGGTTGATAATGGAATCAAATTTTTTGAAGAACAGACGTGGTATTGTACCATCAGCGAATGGTTAAAGGACGAGTATGTTATATTGATTTTTAAAAAATAATCAAATTGTGTTTAATGATTGCACAATTAACTAATTATTAATTTATTCAAGCGTAGACAAGCCATTTTTATAATCTTATGTTATAGATAATCCCAAATCTTAAAATATTTTATCAAGATAATATTAAATTTGTTAATTTTTGTAGCGATTCCAAGAAAAAAAATAAGAGAAACGCCTGAATGTCAAGTATCTACAAAACATACATCCAAGACCAAAAAATGATAGTCAAGTTTTTGATATATTTTTATTTTTATTGTTATATGCACAACATACCTTTCACGTATTACTGTCTATGTTAAATATTTCGTCGATAATGATTTTATCAATGACTTAATTTAGCATAGCTTCTTCAATCTTCGTTGTGCTTATGGAATAAATATAGACGCTTGTCAATTTGCTATACAACTTTTTACTTTAACTTTTTTCCATGCTAGAGTCCATATTTATGGATCTCCATAAAAATAATAAAATAATCTATGCATTTAAAGGCATCATTTACATCTTTGTACAGTATACTGACAGTGTATTATCACATTTTTATCTTTGGAGATCCCGGGTTTTGTCCTGCGCGTTCGACGCAGAACTACTAACCGGAGGACCGTGTTTGCGCTAATTTTTCGAGACTCGGTTGGGCAGAACTCCCACTGTGCACCGAAATGCGAAGATCAAGAAGTCCGACGCGGGGACCCCGAAATAAGGAAATAAGAAATAAAATAACAAAACATGAACACTTTTTAGTAAAATTATGAATATGGTCGTATGCATTGAAAGTTCGCGAATAAACGTTGAATAGTTAACTATTCTATTATGTATGTTAAAAAATATTAAATATATGTTTACAAATATGTATTTGTTCATTATTATTGTAGTGTCGAATTAAGTAAATTATAATTGATTTATTTAATTTATTAAATTAAGTTGATTATACAGTGCGACCAATCTGAATACGAAATTAAATATCTAATCGTATAATTCTGCAGTCATACGAACTGTCTTCAGTCCTAGAAAGTGATCTATACGATCTAATTTGCTTAGATCCGCTTTTCGAAGATAATGGTAAATTTATTTCAACTGTCAGAATCATCGTCATGAATCCGTTTCCTCTCTCGAGAAATAAATTTATCCATGTTAAATTAAAAAATAAGAACAACTAGTTACCAACGTCGAACAGCCAAAAATAATTAATAACAATGATGGTCGATGGAATATTAACGTAGCAAAATATAAATTTAGGATTACTAAAAATAGTATTATTAATGTTATTAATACTGGTCTCTGACGAACAATTTATAATTCTTAATGCATATCTGTATGTATGTATGTATGTATATTATATTTATGAAACTCATGTTTGATTAAATATATAATTTTAAAATATTCCATATAAATCGGTATATTTTATTTAACCATACGTATTTACTAATAACTAATAAGTGATTACTGTTACTTTGTTGCTATTCTCAGTATTTACTAATTCGATTTAAAATCTATATACTCTATAGCCGTGGCCACTATTCAGTGGTTACTGATTGGCTTTATTATTGTTTATTAATTTTAATCTAAGTTTATAGACTGTTATTT